TCCCCAGCGTGCAATGAGGGCCCACAGCCCATTGCCAACCCCCTCACTTACCAAAACCTAGGGGTGCACTCAAGAACCTTGTTCCTTTCCTGCCCATCAGATGACTGATTGAAGGCAAAAGATTTCCTCTTTGCCCCCTCTCCTTGTGGCTGCCTCAAACCAGGAGGGCAGGCACTGTGCCGTGCACCTGCAGCACAAAAAGGAGCTGCAGCACAACTATGGTTATCGCTCTATTTTTGATAAACCCTCATTATTTGCAACCCAATCAGGAGGAGCAATGCTTTTGTAGCTCCCAGAGCCAGGCTTGGAAAGTGTGATCAGGATGGAGCAGCTGTGCTGCACAGCACCAACACTTGGTTGGGATTTTCAGGGCTTGCAAGCTGCCTGCATGCAATGGCTCCAAGGTCTCCAAGGTGTCCAAGTTCTCCAAGGTCTCCAAGGTCTCGTGCTGCAGGAGGACCCCCCTAAAACTGCTCTCAAATGGGTGGGTGGCGGATTGAGGAGCTCAATTACTGCAAGCATCAGTTTCTGGAGGAACCATATGTTAAAGATAAGGAAGGAAAATCAAGTCAAACCTGAGACGGATGGACCCTATTGAGATATACCAGAGAAATTGCATGAAGCAAGCACTGAGCTGAGCGTGCTCCTGAGACTGGGGTCTGAATTTAGGGGCAATGCAGACTATCAGCCTTCCTTCCTCCGCCCCCAGCTGACCACTGAGAAGACCCTCAGTGCTGACTGCGTGCTCTGAGAGGTGATTTTGAGAAAATATGGAGCGTATGCATGAAATTCTGGGTGAAATAGCGTGAGTACGTATGTGCAGGACCAATAAATGTCACCAGCCTGTGAGCCCAGGCGCAGGCATCAGCACTGGGCTCATCTACTGATGTTCTTGGCATCGTGGGAGCTGCAAACGGAGCCTTCCTCCAGGGTAGGGCGCATTTATTAATTTCCGAGGAATTTCTGCCCTGTTTTTGCCTTTCTAAGGGCAGCAAGAAGAAGGCAGAGCCGTTCGGGGCACCGCTGAGTGACAGCTGTCAATCATCGCCGCCGCTCCGCTCGCTGCGCTCTGCCGCCACCCAGCGACCGAGCTGCGAAAAGAGCGGATGTGGGGGAAAAGGATCAAAAACGTCGAGGAGGGGACGAGCAACCGCGCTTTGCTCTGGCTTTGCTCCGAAACGCCGATCTGGGGTGAAAATCAGCACCAGCTCTGCATGGGAAAAGCACCGAGGCTCTGCGCTGCTCCCGGTTCGGTGCTGGGGTTGATGTAGGTTGGATGTTCAGCGATGGGGAACAGGGCACTGGTTTGGGAACCAGTAGAACTGCTTAGAAAAAAGGAATCCACGAGTGATGGTTCCAAAACGTTCCATTTCAGCTTTTGTAGGTGAACTCAATTGCTTTCCTCCATCATTTTGCACTGGGGGCTTCATAGAAGGACAGTAGATGACACCAAAGGCCAACAAATAAGGCTTTGTGTGTTGGGCAACCATTGGGACCAGATGGGATAATGATCTAGGGGACGTAATCTATCTGTGATATTTGGAATCCCATGCTAATATCGCACTGGCCATTGCTCAGTGTTATCGAAGGGGGGTCGAGTGCTCATCTACTTCCTCCCCATTTTCCATCATCAGCTTCATCACTCAGACCTTTGCTCATATTCAGCTGCTTTTCCCCAGTTTGGAAGACGTCCGTTGCTCCTTAGGCCACAGGAAGCCACTTCCAAGCTATCTACATGGAATCTGAGGAAGATGTCCTTGCACCTATGGGTGCAGAAGTATTCTACAAAGCATCCAGCGCGAAACGATGGGAGAAAAGCAATTGAGTTCACCTCCAGAAGCTGAAATGGAACGTTTTGGTCTATCTGATTCCTATCTATCTATTCCTATCGCTCACGGATTCCTTTTGCTAAGAGAATATCCTGCTTCTCAAACGGATGCACTGTTCCCCATTGCTGAACGCCCAGCCTACGTCAGCCCCTCCTTTTCTGTTGAGGATGACGGCATTTTCCTCTTCACCCTCAGCCTTTCACATTTCAAGTTACGACTCCAACACTGCGTAACACAACCAGCAACGTTGCACACAGCCGCTACAGACGCCACCCCCATGGATCCCTTCCTTAAACAACCCAATTTAGGAAGCCAGGAAGTTCATTTGGGCTCCAGCTTGCATCATCCTGCCTTGGATGGGTATTTTATCATCTCAGTTCGGTGCCAGATCTCACATATATCCTCAGTTTATGCCAGTGCCAGAGGACAGCAGCCTTGATGCACTCAAGGGGACAACAGCGTCACCCCTCCATCAGCGACAGCAGAGACACAGAGAGCAGACACAGCAGGGAGAAAAAGAAAGAAGGAGGAGAAACGAAAAGTCAGAGGTGCAGAAAGTTATCAGAAACTTCTTTGTGTTTCGTTTCGTTTTTTGTTTTTGTTTTTGTTTTTTTTTTTAATTATTATTAATTTTTTGTTGTTGTTCGTTTTCTCCTTTTTAATAGTAAACCTCTTTACAACAAATATAGCGAAAGAGTTTTCCAAACAAAATTCGTAAGAATTTTTAACGGTCATTATTATTATTATTATTATTATCATTATTATTATTATTATTAGCATTTTTTTAAAATTTTTTTTTTCCTTGTTGTGGAATGTATCGAAATGCCTCACCGTACAGCACAAAAAATAAAATAAAATAAAATAAAATAAAATAAAATAAAATAAAATAAAATAAAAATAAAAAAGAAATATTGAGAAAACAAAATCGGACGTCTCAATCACGTGCTGCAGTTCCTGATTGTCAGGAGTGCAGTTTTTGGGGATGGGGGTGAAGGGAGGGGGGGAATGGTTGCAGGGGGGGTCCCAGGGCTCAGGGTGTCCTTAGCTGGAGCTGGGGGTGCAAATTCTTAGAGAAAGATGGAAGTTATCGCAGATTCCAGCACCCCCCCCCCCCCCTCCTTTTTCTCACCACGTTGAGGTTTTTTTGCTGCTTCCACCCCAGACCCCCCCCCCCCCAAAAAAAAAACCCCACAGGTGGGGGTGGGAGGGGGGCCTCCCTTCCCTCTGTCCCCTCTGTGTTCCCATCCCATGTCCTCCATCCATGGTGCAGAACCCCCCGTGCCCCCCCCTCGGATTCGCACACACAGAGGTGGAGGAGCATCGAGGGGGGGAAGGGAGAAGGAGAGGAAAAATAACCAAAAAATAAACAAAAAAAAAAAAAAAAAAGAGGTTAAAAAAAAAAAATATATATATATATATTTATAGATACACAGTTTATCTCCCCCCCCCCTCATCCCCTCTTTTTTTTTTTTTTCTTCTTTTTTTCTTTAATTGCTTCTCAGAACAATAAATAAAACTGCAAAGGGGGAGAATCGAAGTTGGGAGGGGGGGGGTGGAAAACGCACGCCCTGCTTTGCTCCCACCATGCAGCACCCCAGGAAGGGAGCAGCAGGGCTGGGCACCCTGCTGAGTGCTGCCTGTCTCTGATGGGAGGGTTGAGGGGGGGTTGGTTGTTTTTCTTCCTCAGTGCATTATTGGAAGGGTTTTTGTTCAGCTGACGGAGTTGTTGAAGGCACCCAGCAGTGCGCGACTGCCTGCCTGCGATGCTGGGGCTGTGGGTTGGGGTGAGGGTTATAGAGTTAGGGTGAGGGTAAGTGTTATAGGGTGAGGGATAGGGTGAGGGTTATAGGGTTAGGGTAAAGGTAAGGGTTATAGGGTTAGGGTAAAGATAACGGTTATAGGGTGAGGGTTAAGGGTATAGGGCAAGGATAAAGGTAAGGGTTATAGGGTAAAGGTAAAAGTACGGGTCATAAGGTGAGGGTTAAGGTTATTGGGTTAGGGTAAAGATAAAGGTTAAAGAGTAAGGGTTAGGGTAAAGGAAATGGTTACAGGGTTAGGGTGAGGGAAAGGGTTATAGGGTTAGGGTTAGGGTAAGGGTTATAGGGCTAGGGCAAAGATAAGGGTTATAGGGTGAGGATGAGGGTTAAGGGTATACGGATTTCTATGAAAATCAGCAATATTTAAAGTTAAAAACAGGGATTTCTATGAAAATAAGAGATATTTAAGGGGAAAAACAGGGATTTCTAGGAAAATAAGTGATATTTCAGGGGAAAAATAGGAATTTCAAAGAAAATAAGCGATATTTTAGGTTAAAAACAGGGATTTCTATGAAAATAAGCGATATTTAAGGTTAAAAACATGGATTTCAAAGAAAATAAGCGATATTTTAGGTTAAAAACAGGGATTTCTATAAAAATAAGCGATACTTCAGGGGAAAAACAGGAATTTCTATGAAGATAAGTGATATTTAAGGGTTAAAAAAACGGATTTCTATGAAAATAAGCGATATTTAAGGGTTAAAAACAGGGATTTCTATGAAAAGAAGTGATATTTAAGGGTTAAAAACAGGGTTTTCAATGAAAATAAGGGATATATTAGATTAAAAACAAGGATTTATACGAAAATAAGTGATATTTAAGGGGAAAAACAGAGATTTCTAGGAAAATCAGCGATATTTAAGGTTAAAACCAGGGATTACTACGGTGCCTACGCGGCGCATGCGCCGTAGGTTGCCAGACCGGTGCAGGCGCTGTAGTATGACAGACCCGCGCATGCGTAGTAGGGTGCATGCCTGGCGAATGCGAAACGGGGTGCCAATCAGGCGCATGCACAGTAGAGTGCCTTACAGGCGCATACGCAGTAGGGTTCCAGAGCAGCGCATGCGCAGTCGATTGCTAGCCCGGCTCCAGGACAGTAGGGTGCCACAGCGGCGCATGCGCAGCAGTGTATCAGCCACGCGCATGCCCACTAGGATGCAAGCCAGGCACATGCTCAGTAGTGAGACAGCCGAGCGAACGTGCAGTAAGAAGCGATATTTAAGATTTAAAATCAGGGATTACTATGATGATAAGCGATATTTAAAGGGAAAAAACAGGGATTTCTATGAAAATAAGCGATATTTGAGGTTAAAAACAGGGATTTCTATGAAAATAAGCGATATTTAAGGTTAAAAACAGGGATTTCTATGAAAATAAGCGATATTTAAGGGGAAAAACAGGGATTTCTATGAAAATAAGCGATATTTAAGGGGAAAAACAGGGATTTCTATGAAAATAAGCGATATTTAAGGGGAAAAACAGGGATTTCTATGAAAATAAGTGATATTTTAGGGTTAAAAACAGGGATTTCTATGAAAATAAGCGATATTTTAGGTTAAAAACAGGGATTTCTATGAAAATAAGCGATATTTAAGGTTAAAAACAGGGATTTCTATGAAAATAAGCGATATTTAAGGGGAAAAACAGGGATTTCTATGAAAATAAGCGATATTTGAGGTTAAAAACAGGGATTTCTATGAAAATAAGCGATATTTAAGGTTAAAAACAGGGATTTCTATGAAAATAAGCGATATTTAAGGTAAAAACAGGGATTTCTATGAAAATAAGCGATATTTAAGGGGAAAAACAGGGATTTCTATGAAAATAAGCGATATTTAAGGTTAAAAACAGGGATTTCTATGAAAATAAGCGATATTTAAGGGGAAAAACAGGGATTTCTATGAAAATAAGCGATATTTAGTTGTTAAAAACAGGGATTTCTATGAAAATAAGCGATATTTAAGGGGAAAAACAGGGATTTCTACGGAGATAAGCGATATTTAACGTTAAAAACAGGGATTTCTATGAAAATAAGCGATATTTAAGGTTAAAAACAGGGATTTCTATGAAAATAAGCGATATTTTAGGTTAAAAAAAGGGATTTCTATGAAAATAAGCGATATTTTAGGTTAAAAACAGGGATTTCTATGAAAATAAGTGATATTTAAGGGTTAAAAACAGGGATTTCTATGAAAATAAGCGATATTTGAGGTTAAAAACAGGGATTTCTATGAAAATAAGCGATATTTAAGGGGAAAAACAGGGATTTCTATGAAAACAAGCGATATTTAAGGTTAAAGACAGGGATTTCTATGAAAATAAGCGATATTTAAGGGTTAAAAACAGGGATTTCTATGAAAATAAGCGATATTTGAGGTTAAAAACAGGGATTTCTATGAAAATAAGCGATATTTAAGGGGAAAAACAGGGATTTCTATGAAAATAAGCGATATTTAAGGGGAAAAACAGGGATTTCTATGAAAATAAGCGATATTTGAGGTTAAAAACAGGGATTTCTATGAAAATAAGTGATATTTGAGGTTAAAAACAGGGATTTCTATGAAAATAAGCGATATTTTAGGTTAAAAACAGGGATTTCTATGAAAATAAGCGATATTTAAGGTTAAAAACAGGGATTTCTATGAAAATAAACGATATTTTAGGTTAAAAACAGGGATTTCTATGAAAATAAGCGATATTTAAGGGTAAAAACAGGGATTTCTATGAAAATAAGCGATATTTGAGGTTAAAAACAGGGATTTCTATGAAAATAAGCGATATTTAAGGGGAAAAACTGGGATTTCTATGAAATTCAGCGATATTTAAGGGGAAAAACAGGGATTTCTATGAAAATGAGAGATATTTAGTTGTTAAAAACAGGGATTTCTATGAAAATAAGCGATATTTGAGGTTAAAAACAGGGATTTCTATGAAAATAAGCGATATTTAGGGGAAAAACTGGGATTTCTATGAAATTAAGCGATATTTAAGGGGAAAAACAGGGATTTCTACGGAGATAAGCGATATTTAACGTTAAAAACAGGGATTTCTATGAAAATAAGCGATATTTAAGGGGGAAAACAGGGATTTCTATGAAAATAAGCGATATTTTAGGTTAAAAACAGGGATTTCTATGAAAATAAGCGATATTTAAGGGTTAAAAACAGGGATTTCTATGAAAATAAGTGATATTTAAGGGTTAAAAACAGGGATTTCTATGAAAGTAAGTGATATTTACGGGTTAAAAACAGGGATTTCTATGAAAATAAGCGATATTTAAGGGGAAAAACAGGGATTTCTAGAAAACAAGCGATATTTAAGGTTAAAGACAGGGATTTCTATGAAAATAAGCGATATTTAAGGTTAAAAACAGGGATTTCTACGGAGATAAGCGATATTTAACGTTAAAAACAGGGATTTCTATGAAAATAAGCGATATTTGAGGTTAAAAACAGGGATTTCTAGGAAAATAAGCGATATTTGAGGTTAAAAACAGGGATTTCTATGAAAATAAGCGATATTTGAGGTTAAAAACAGGGATTTCTATGAAAATAAGCGATATTTAAGGGGAAAAACAGGGATTTCTATGAAAATAAGCGATATTTTAGGTTAAAAACAGGGATTTCTATGAAAATAAGCGATATTTTAGGTTAAAAACAGGGATTTCTATGAAAATAAGCGATATTTAAGGGTTAAAAACAGGGATTTCTATGAAAATAAGCGATATTTTAGGTTAAAAACAGGGATTTCTATGAAAATAAGCGATATTTAAGGGGAAAAACAGGGATTTCTATGAAAATAAGCGATATTTAAGGGTTAAAAACAGGGATTTCTATGAAAATAAGCGATATTTAAGGGGAAAAACAGGGATTTCTATGAAAATAAGCGATATTTTAGGGGTTAAAAACAGGGATTTCTATGAAAATAAGTGATATTTGAGGTTAAAAACAGGGATTTCTATGAAAATAAGCGATATTTAAGGTTAAAAACAGGGATTTCTATGAAAATAAGCGATATTTGAGGTTAAAAACAGGGATTTCTATGAAAATAGAGATATTTTAGGTTAAAAACAGGGATTTCTATGAAAATAAGCGATATTTAAGGGGAAAAACAGGGATTTCTATGAAAATAAGCGATATTTAAGGGGAAAAACAGGGATTTCTATGAAAATAAGCGATATTTGAGGTTAAAAACAGGGATTTCTATGAAAATAAGCGATATTTTAGGTTAAAAACAGGGATTTCTATGAAAATAAGCGATATTTAAGGTTAAAAACAGGGATTTCTATGAAAATAAGCGATATTTGAGGTTAAAAACAGGGATTTCTATGAAAATAAGCGATATTTAAGGGGAAAAACAGGGATTTCTATGAAAATAAGCGATATTTGAGGTTAAAAACAGGGATTTCTATGAAAATAAGCGATATTTTAGGTTAAAAACAGGGATTTCTATGAAAATAAGCGATATTTGAGGTTAAAAACAGGGATTTCTATGAAAATAAGCGATATTTTAGGTTAAAAACAGGGATTTCTATGAAAATAAGTGATATTTGAGGTTAAAAACAGGGATTTCTATGAAAATAAGCGATATTTGAGGTTAAAAACAGGGATTTCTATGAAAATAAGCGATATTTAAGGGGAAAAACAGGGATTTCTATGAAAATAAGCGATATTTGAGGTTAAAAACAGGGATTTCTATGAAAATAAGCGATATTTGAGGTTAAAAACAGGGATTTCTATGAAAATAAGCGATATTTGAGGTTAAAAACAGGGATTTCTATGAAAATAAGCGATATTTTAAGGTTAAAAACAGGGATTTCTATGAAAATAAGCGATATTTAAGGGGAAAAACAGGGATTTCTATGAAAATAAGCGATATTTAAGGGTTAAAAACAGGGATTTCTATGAAAATAAGCGATATTTAAGGGTTAAAAACAGGGATTTCTATGAAAATAAGCGATATTTAAGGGGAAAAACAGGGATTTCTATGAAAATAAGCGATATTTAAGGTTAAAAACAGGGATTTCTATGAAAATAAGCGATATTTAAGGGTTAAAAACAGGGATTTCTATGAAAATAAGCGATATTTAGGTTAAAAACAGGGATTTCTATGAAAATAAGCGATATTTTAGGTTAAAAACAGGGATTTCTATGAAAATAAGCGATATTTAAGGGGAAAAACAGGGATTTCTATGAAAATAAGCGATATTTGAGGTTAAAAACAGGGATTTCTATGAAAATAAGCGATATTTAAGGGGTTAAAAACAGGGATTTCTATGAAAATAAGCGATATTTAAGGGGAAAAACAGGGATTTCTATGAAAATAAGCGATATTTTAGGTTAAAAACAGGGATTTCTATGAAAATAAGCGATATTTGAGGTTAAAAACAGGGATTTCTATGAAAATAAGCGATATTTAAGGGGAAAAACAGGGATTTCTATGAAAATAAGCGATATTTAAGGGGAAAAACAGGGATTTCTATGAAAATAAGCGATATTTAAGGGGAAAAACAGGGATTTCTATGAAAATAAGCGATATTTGAGGTTAAAAACAGGGATTTCTATGAAAATAAGTGATATTTGAGGTTAAAAACAGGGATTTCTATGAAAATAAGCGATATTTAAGGGGAAAAACAGGGATTTCTATGAAAATAAGCGATATTTGAGGTTAAAAACAGGGATTTCTATGAAAATAAGCGATATTTTAGGTTAAAAACAGGGATTTCTATGAAAATAAGCGATATTTAAGGGTAAAAACAGGGATTTCTATGAAAATAAGCGATATTTAAGGGGAAAAACAGGGATTTCTATGAAAATAAGCGATATTTAAGGGGAAAAACAGGGATTTCTATGAAAATAAGCGATATTTAAGGGGAAAAACAGGGATTTCTATGAAAATAAGAGATATTTAGTTGTTAAAAACAGGGATTTCTATGAAAATAAGCGATATTTAAGGTTAAAAACAGGGATTTCTATGAAAATAAGCGATATTTTAGGTTAAAAACTGGGATTTCTATGAAATTAAGCGATATTTAAGGGGAAAAACAGGGATTTCTACGGAGATAAGCGATATTTAACGTTAAAAACAGGGATTTCTATGAAAATAAGCGATATTTAAGGGGGAAAACAGGGATTTCTATGAAAATAAGCGATATTTTAGGTTAAAAACAGGGATTTCTATGAAAATAAGCGATATTTTAGGTTAAAAACAGGGATTTCTATGAAAATAAGTGATATTTAAGGGTTAAAAACAGGGATTTCTATGAAAGTAAGTGATATTTACGGGTTAAAAACAGGGATTTCTATGAAAATAAGCGATATTTAAGGGGAAAAACAGGGATTTCTAGAAAACAAGCGATATTTAAGGTTAAAAACAGGGATTTCTATGAAAATAAGCGATATTTAGGTTAAAAACAGGGATTTCTATGAAAATAAGCGATATTTAAGGGGAAAAACAGGGATTTCTATGAAAATAAGCGATATTTGAGGTTAAAAACAGGGATTTCTATGAAAATAAGCGATATTTAAGGTTAAAAACAGGGATTTCTATGAAAATAAGCGATATTTACGGGTTAAAAACAGGGATTTCTATGAAAATAAGCGATATTTAAGGGGAAAAACAGGGATTTCTATGAAAATAAGCGATATTTAAGGTTAAAAACAGGGATTTCTATGAAAATAAGCGATATTTAAGGGTTAAAAACAGGGATTTCTATGAAAATAAGCGATATTTGAGGTTAAAAACAGGGATTTCTATGAAAATAAGCGATATTTAAGGGGTTAAAAACAGGGATTTCTATGAAAATAAGCGATATTTGAGGTTAAAAACAGGGATTTCTATGAAAATAAGCGATATTTGAGGTTAAAAACAGGGATTTCTATGAAAATAAGCGATATTTGAGGTTAAAAACAGGGATTTCTATGAAAATAAGCGATATTTAAGGTTAAAAACAGGGATTTCTATGAAAATAAGTGATATTTGAGGTTAAAAACAGGGATTTCTATGAAAATAAGCGATATTTGAGGTTAAAAACAGGGATTTCTATGAAAATAAGCGATATTTTAGGTTAAAAACAGGGATTTCTATGAAAATAAGCGATATTTAAGGGTTAAAAACAGGGATTTCTATGAAAATAAGCGATATTTAAGGTTAAAAACAGGGATTTCTATGAAAATAAGCGATATTTTAGGTTAAAAACAGGGATTTCTATGAAAATAAGCGATATTTGAGGTTAAAAACAGGGATTTCTATGAAAATAAGCGATATTTAAGGGGAAAAACAGGGATTTCTATGAAAATAAGCGATATTTGAGGTTAAAAACAGGGATTTCTATGAAAACAAGAGATATTTTAGGTTAAAAACAGGGATTTCTATGAAAATAAGCGATATTTAAGGGGAAAAACAGGGATTTCTATGAAAATAAGTGATATTTGAGGTTAAAAACAGGGATTTCTATGAAAATAAGCGATATTCAACGTTAAAAACAGGGATTTCTATGAAAATAAGCGATATTTGAGGTTAAAAACAGGGATTTCTATGAAAATAAGCGATATTTAAGGTTAAAAACAGGGATTTCTATGAAAATAAGCGATATTTGAGGTTAAAAACAGGGATTTCTATGAAAATAAGCGATATTTTAGGTTAAAAACAGGGATTTCTATGAAAATAAGCGATATTTTAGGTTAAAAACAGGGATTTCTATGAAAATAAGCGATATTTAAGGTTAAAAACAGGGATTTCTATGAAAATAAGCGATATTTAAGGGGAAAAACAGGGATTTCTATGAAAATAAGCGATATTTGAGGTTAAAAACAGGGATTTCTATGAAAATAAGCGATATTTGAGGTTAAAAACAGGGATTTCTATGAAAATAAGCGATATTTAAGGGGTTAAAAACAGGGATTTCTATGAAAATAAGCGATATTTGAGGTTAAAAACAGGGATTTCTATGAAAATAAGCGATATTTAAGGGGAAAAACAGGGATTTCTATGAAAATAAGCGATATTTAAGGGTTAAAAACAGGGATTTCTATGAAAATAAGCGATATTTAAGGGTTAAAAACAGGGATTTCTATGAAAATAAGCGATATTTAAGGGGAAAAACAGGGATTTCTATGAAAATAAGCGATATTTAGGTTAAAAACAGGGATTTCTATGAAAATAAGCGATATTTAAGGGTTAAAAACAGGGATTTCTATGAAAATAAGCGATATTTAAGGTTAAAAACAGGGATTTCTATGAAAATAAGCGATATTTTAGGTTAAAAACAGGGATTTCTATGAAAATAAGCGATATTTAAGGGGAAAAACAGGGATTTCTATGAAAGTAAGTGATATTTAAGGGTTAAAAACAGGGATTTCTATGAAAATAAGCGATATTTAAGGGGAAAAACAGGGATTTCTATGAAAACAAGCGATATTTAAGGTTAAAAACAGGGATTTCTATGAAAATAAGCGATATTTAAGGGTTAAAAACAGGGATTTCTATGAAAATAAGCGATATTTGAGGTTAAAAACAGGGATTTCTATGAAAATAAGCGATATTTTAGGTTAAAAACAGGGATTTCTATGAAAATAAGCGATATTTAAGGTTAAAAACAGGGATTTCTATGAAAATAAGCGATATTTAAGGTTAAAAACAGGGATTTCTATGAAAATAAGCGATATTTGAGGTTAAAAACAGGGATTTCTATGAAAATAAGCGATATTTGAGGTTAAAAACAGGGATTTCTATGAAAATAAGCGATATTTAAGGTTAAAAACAGGGATTTCTATGAAAATAAGCGATATTTGAGGTTAAAAACAGGGATTTCTATGAAAATAAGCGATATTTGAGGTTAAAAACAGGGATTTCTATGAAAATAAGCGATATTTTAGGTTAAAAACAGGGATTTCTATGAAAATAAGCGATATTTGAGGTTAAAAACAGGGATTTCTATGAAAATAAGCGATATTTAAGGGGAAAAACAGGGATTTCTATGAAAATAAGCGATATTTAAGGGGTTAAAAACAGGGATTTCTATGAAAATAAGCGATATTTGAGGTTAAAAACAGGGATTTCTATGAAAATAAGCGATATTTTAGGTTAAAAACAGGGATTTCTATGAAAATAAGCGATATTTGAGGTTAAAAACAGGGATTTCTATGAAAATAAGCGATATTTGAGGTTAAAAACAGGGATTTCTATGAAAATAAGCGATATTTGAGGTTAAAAACAGGGATTTCTATGAAAATAAGCGATATTTGAGGTTAAAAACAGGGATTTCTATGAAAATAAGCGATATTTGAGGTTAAAAACAGGGATTTCTATGAAAATAAGCGATATTTTAGGTTAAAAACAGGGATTTCTATGAAAATAAGCGATATTTTAGGTTAAAAACAGGGATTTCTATGAAAATAAGCGATATTTAAGGGGAAAAACAGGGATTTCTATGAAAATAAGCGATATTTTAGGTTAAAAACAGGGATTTCTATGAAAATAAGCGATATTTAAGGGTTAAAAACAGGGATTTCTATGAAAATAAGCGATATTTTAGGTTAAAAACAGGGATTTCTATGAAAATAAGCGATATTTAAGGTTAAAAACAGGGATTTCTATGAAAATAAGCGATATTTAAGGGGAAAAACAGGGATTTCTATGAAAATAAGCGATATTTAAGGGGAAAAACAGGGATTTCTATGAAAATAAGCGATATTTAAGGGGAAAAACTGAGATTTCTATGAAAATAAGCGATATTTGAGGTTAAAAACAGGGATTTCTATGAAAATAAGCGATATTTGAGGTTAAAAACAGGGATTTCTATGAAAATAAGCGATATTTGAGGTTAAAAACAGGGATTTCTATGAAAATAAGCGATATTTTAGGGGAAAATCAGGGATTTGTATGAAAACAAGAGATATTTAAGGGTTAAAAACAGGGATTTCTATAAAAATAAGCGATATTTGAGGTTAAAAACAGGGATTTCTGTGAAAATAAGCGATATTTAGGGGAAAAACTGGGATTTCTATGAAATTAAGCGATATTTAAGGGGAAAAACTTGGATTACTGTGAAAATAAGCAATATTTTAGGGGAAAAACAGGCATTTCTATGAAAATAAGCTATATTTACAGTTAAAAACAGGGATTTCTAGGAAAATAAACGATATTTTAGGTTAAAAACAGGGATTTCTATGAAAATAAGCGATATTTAAGGGTAAAAACAGGGATTTCTATGAAAATAAGCGATATTTAAGGGGAAAAACAGGGATTTCTATGAAAATAAGCGATATTTGAGGTTAAAAACAGGGATTTCTATGAAAATAAGCGATATTTAAGGGGAAAAACTGGGATTTCTATGAAAATAAGCGATATTTAAGGGGAAAAACAGGGATTTCTATGAAAATGAGAGATATTTAGTTGTTAAAAACAGGGATTTCTATGAAAACAAGCGATATTTAAGGTTAAAGACAGGGATTTCTATGAAAATAAGCGATATTTAAGGGGAAAAACAGGGATTTCTATGAAAATAAGCGATATTTAAGGGTTAAAAACAGGGATTTCTATGAAAATAAGCGATATTTAAGGGGAAAAACAGGGATTTCTATGAAAATAAGCGATATTTTAGGTTAAAAACAGGGATTTCTATGAAAATAAGCGATATTTTAGGTTAAAAACAGGGATTTCTATGAAAATAAGCGATATTTTAGGTTAAAAACAGGGATTTCTATGAAAATAAGCGATATTTTAGGTTAAAAACAGGGATTTCTATGAAAATAAGCGATATTTAAGGGTTAAAAACAGGGATTTCTATGAAAATAAGCGATATTTGAGGTTAAAAACAGGGATTTCTATGAAAATAAGCGATATTTAAGGGGTTAAAAACAGGGATTTCTATGAAAATAAGCGATATTTTAGGGTTAAAAACAGGGATTTCTATGAAAATAAGCGATATTTAAGGGGAAAAACAGGGATTTCTATGAAAATAAGCGATATTTGAGGTTAAAAACAGGGATTTCTATGAAAATAAGCGATATTTGAGGTTAAAAACAGGGATTTCTATGAAAATAAGCGATATTTAAGGGGAAAAACAGGGATTTCTATGAAAATAAGCGATATTTGAGGTTAAAAACAGGGATTTCTATGAAAATAAGCGATATTTTAGGTTAAAAACAGGGATTTCTATGAAAATAAGCGATATTTAAGGTTAAAAACAGGGATTTCTATGAAAATAAGCGAT